TGAGGAGAGAGAGAGAGAGAGAGAAGAAGAGAGGAGAGAGAGAGAGAGAGGGAGAGTGAGAGAGAGAGTGGAGAGACAGAAGAGAAAAGAGGAGACAGACAGACAGAGAACAGACAGACAGGTGTCAACAACAGTAGAAACAACTACACTAATAGTACTATGTATATGAACATGAAGAAGATGATGACGACTACAACAACGATGGGACAATGAGCAGTGATTATAGTAATAATAGTAAACTGTAGTAATAATAATAATAACAATGAATTATCAGTGATTTTAGTAATGGTAGTCAAGCAGGACCATGCAGGAGCTCCACAGGATCCATGAAACCTGAACAGAACACAAGAACCTCGGGAAGAAGTGAAGGTATAAACATGCATTAATGCAGCAACTTAAAACAATTTCCAAGTTCAGTATAACCTCAATGTAAATGTAAACCAAGGACTGCTCAGTCAGGGTGTTGATTCTCAAAACAGAGAAAAAAGTGCAAATGATTCACAGTAACATTTGAAAACCTTTTTATAAACTGTAAAATATTGGTCACTTGTCAGCTTCATCAGCCTATTCCTTTTCAAAAAGGTATATGACTTTATATTTACATTTGGTTTTTCTGTGCAAAAAAAATGCAACAATTCTTTAACATTTGTCTGTTGGATGTTCTGTGAGTTGTTCTCAGGAAGTCGTGTGAAATGTCTTCCCCGAATCGGTGTCAATGGAAAGAGGACAAGGACTCAGCCTCGGTTACATGGGACACCAGCTCACCAACTGGAGGATTGGATTTGGATTTGAACTGGATTTAAATTTCTATTCAAAATTTTACAGGGGAGCCAGTGCAGAGAAGCTAGAAACAGAGGAGGATGTGATCTCTTTTCCTAGTTTCCTGTCAGGTACTCCGTGCTGCAGCGTTTGGATTAATTAGAGCGTTTTAATTGGACTTAATTAGGGCAACCTGATAATAAAGAGTTGCAGTAATCCGCCTTGAAGTAACAGATGCCATGGATTAGTTTTTCTGCATTCTGTCTGTGAGTAGGATGTGTCTAATTTTTTGTAATATTACGTAAATGAAAGAAGAGTCCTAGAGATCTGCTATATGGGAGTTAAAGATAACTCCAAGATTCCTGACAGTGGTGCTAGAGGCCAAAGTAATGCCTCTAGAGCTAACTATATCCTGTTAGACAGTGAGTCTCTGAGGTTTTTGGGGCCACGTACAAAATTTCGTTTTTTTCTGAGGTTTAACATGAGAATTGGGCAGCTCATCCAGGATTTTAGTGCGGTTCCTTTAATGCCAATTTGGATGTTCAAAGTCTCTTAAAAAGCAATATTATGGTCAATGTGTCAAAATGCTAGCACTAAGATCTAATAATACAAGTACAGGGAGACAAGTCCATTGTCAGAAGCAATTCAAAAGGTCATTCTAACTTTAACCAGAGCTGTTCCTCTGTGGCTGTGATGAACTCTAAATCCTGGACTGAAATCCCACCTAGAGTCAGGGTCTGTCCTAGGTTTCTGCCTCTTTAAAGGAAGTTTTTCCTTGCCACTGTCTCCAACGTATTGCTCATGGTGGTACTGTTGGGTCTCTGTAAATAATGTTTTAAGGAGTACGGTCTAGACGGTGCTCAGTGAGTTTCTTTTATTTAGTGAGGGGGATGGACGATGTCTTCTGAACCAAAAGTTCATATTTATTTAAAATACTTTTACAGAGAGCAGCAGAACATGTAACACAGTCAAAAAATCACCTGACCAGGTGAACTCGTTAATGGTCGGGCTCGTTCAGGTGGATGACAGTGATGGTGATGTCATCGCGGTACCTCCTTGCCAGCTCCGGCGGCAGACTCAGCATCTTGGCCAGACGGTTTGGCGCCACCGCTCCGTACCCATCGTCCCCAAGAGCATGGCGGAGCAGGTGGGTGGCAGTGTTCTGGTCCTCCAGCACCGACAGGACCCGGCCCCTCCTCTCCAGCAGGAGGCGCTGCAGGCTGCCCAGCGTCACGCCTGTGCCGGGAAATATGGGTCTCTGCTGCTGAAGGCCTGTACAGCAAGAAAGAGCTTCCACTGATTACAGGGACATCGACAGGAAGTAAATATCTGTTCTTAATCATCCGAGCTGCTCTGACCAGGAGCTGAATGATAAATCTCTCTGGATCTTAAATTGTTATTAGCAAAGGTAACGCCAGTGGTGGGAACTAGAGAGGATCCAGGGGCAGCTCTGCTCCTCTTTACACATGAGCTCCCCTGAAAACATGATTTGTCAAATTTGGACAATTTCAGCCTCTCCAGGATTTCACAGGCTTTGTTTTTTAAATAGTTTCGACCTAAAAAGTCTGATTTCTAAAAAGTTGTGATGCATGTTGTGGAGTTTTTAGGCTCTTTTGTACGATGGAATTGCAGCAGAAAGTGAAATAAGGCAACTTGTTCCGAGGGTCAGTGTAAGACGTTTGTGTCCCAGACGTCTGCATCTTCAACATTAGAAACAAGGAAGTGAGTTTGGTGACTCAATATTTTGTGCAGGAAACTACGATTGGTGAAAGTTGCGGAAAATTGCAGTGATTGGACAAATTGCAAGGTCATGCATAATTCACAGAAATTGGTTGAATTTGCAGTATTTGTTGCCAATGCAAATTCCTTGAGGGACTGATCAATACGCTGTTTTTTAAATGCATTTGTATTTTTTTCAATTGTCATTATCATGGATTATGTGTGAACTTAAGCTACTATTGATGTATGATTTGTGCATGAGGGTGACACTAATTCACTTATACTATACTACTAATAAACACAGAAGCACAATATCATTAACTTCAGATCAGATAATATCAGAAAACATCATAAAATATCAGAAATTATCAAAAAATATCATAAAATATCATAAAATATATCCTCCTGCGACAGTAGAAAAAGTGATCTCCCCTGAAAGGGACAAATAGAGAGTGCAGAGATGTCACCAAACACAGGATATATAGATCTATATGATATTGAAATATTGATGATATGTTTGATGAGAAATGATATTTAAGATATATATGTACAAGAATAAGAACTTGAGCAGTATATTGGAATATAGCTGCTGTAAACGCTATCTCTCTCCAGAGTGAAGGACCCCCAGGTAGCACAGCTTTATAAAGTCTGAAACGCGGTTTGTCTTCGTATTCCACCGAACGGAGCATCTTCAGAGCCTGTTCTGCCCAACATTGTTTACTTGTGTATTTTGTCCTTACAGTGGATACAAACTCTAACCTGCCTCTGACTGACTGACTTCTTGTCTGGTGCCACAATGTTGATGTAACATTAAACTCGATCTATATGCGGTATTTTATTTTGAAAATTTACGGGATTCTTTTTGCCGTTTCTTTGTCTGACTTCCTGCCAGTGTGATCTGCTCTGTGTTTTGCGCGAAAGGGTTGTAGACTAGCCGCATATTCACAGAGCAGAGCAGAGAGACTATAAAGACTTGTACTTCTATTTATTGTGTCTGTGGTTCAGACTTCAGTCTGGGTTTAGGAGTTTGGTGAACAGAGTGAGGATCTGACCTGTCAGTTGTTCCCCCACCAGCTGGACGACCGTCTGTCGGTGCATCAGCTCCCAGAGTCCATCAGTGGCCAAGACAAGGAACTTGTCAACGGGTCTGATGCGGTGTCGGGTGACCTCCGGCTGGGCACTCAGGTAGGGCGGGGTCAGGTAGTATGGCGGCAGCACCCGGGCCACTTCGCTGACCGCGGACAGGATGTCTGGTCGTGTTTCGTAGACTCGACTCAGCATCTCTGCACTCCACTTGAAGCGGACGTCGCCAAATGCCCTGAAGGGTAGCAGGAGACCCAACAGGCGGTCATGGCGGACCACCGTCCTCCGCTCAGATGACGGGTGTTCCCCGAGAATCCTTTGCAGCTCGTCTGGGTTCTGCGCGTTGTGGTCGTTGGTAAGGCTGACTGCCGACCAGTGGCCGTCCGGCTCCTGGACGCCCAGGACGGCCCGGCTGTCACCCAGGTTTGCCACGTGCAGGACCCCATTGGATACATGAGCGACGCAGGCCGTGCAGCCAGACAGCGCCACCCGCAGGGGGGAGGACAGAGAGAATGCCTCCCCAGGGAGAGACATCCGTCTGTGGACAGAGAGAGAGGATTCACCAGGGGGCGTAAGATTATGGCAGGAATATGTTCTTTCAATGAACACCTGAAAGTGATATAGTGCCTTTAGTCAGGATCAGTTTACTCAGGTTTTTCTTGCTCAGTATGTTTTATCCAACATAAGCACACTGTCAGAAAGGATCTGGAGCTGTAAATCATGGGTGAAAGTCACCATTTTGAATCCAAAATTGGTCAGTTGTGTGATTCATGTAGATCCAATGATATTTTGAAATTGTGTCAGGCAGTGCTTCTAGAGTTTATTTCCATTTCTCATCAATGTTGGTATTTTCAGAATCTGCGGTGAGCTAATTTCACTAATTAACAGGTTAGCAACAAAATGCTCAATTTTCTCTTGAAAAAAAAAGATCAGAAATGTTTGTTCACTTTGGAGTCTTCTGATGTCGCAGGGTGTTTTATTCTGACAGTACGGTCAGCAGAGAGAAATCCAAACACACATTAAACTGTCACACTTAAGGAGTCAAACAGAATGTGGACCTGGGTGCAGACATGGACAGGTGGACCTGGGCCTCCACAGAAAGGTCGTAGTCAAGGCGACGGAAAGCGTTGACCAGTGCTGATGTCACTTTTCCGCTGTCCTGCAGCCAATGAGAGAGGAGACAGATAATGACATCACAACACATGAAAGCTTTAAAGCTGCATTCACTTAATGTCTGAAGGACTCAGAACTCCAGATGTCCAGTTATGTTTGTGTACAGTGATAATAAAGTTGTGTTTGTACAGTGATAATAAAGTTGTGTTTGTACAGTGATAATAAAGTTGTGTGTTTGTAC